TGGCTATTATTGAGAAATAAATATTCGCACACACACACACACACACTCACACATACAGACGTTGCTTATCAAAACTGATGATTAAATTTCACCGTTATTTAGGTACGTGGCGCAGCAGTTGCTAATGCCATTGACTCATGCGCAAAAGCCGGAAGGAAGCGGCATTAGAAATGTGGGCCAGAAAAGGGGGAGGGGGAGGGCAAGACGCAAGACGCAAGCGTAACGCGAACGAGAACAGGCAAAAGCAGCCAAAAGCGCGAATTATAGAGGGAAAGGGAGAGAGCGAGAGAGAAAGAAAAAACTGAGCTGCTAATTCATTCACTTTTGAGTCAAATGCTGCTGCGACGGTTACTTTTTGAAATGTGAAAAAAAAAAACAGATAAGAGCAATGCACTTGGGTGTAAGCGACGGCGCCATACTCTGTTCAATTCAAAGGAGTTTTTGATAGCGGGCTGCAGAGCTTTAGAGATTGGTGTGGTATATATATATATATATATCAGATCGAGAGTTCACTCCTTGGCGTTAAAAACTGTTGTAAGCGATGTAAAGTAAAAGGAAACGGACGGACACTGCACACAGCCAATATACCCTATAATTCCTTGACAAACGGAGATGGAAAAGCATTCATATATATATTTAATTTTTGCTTTACATCTTTGATGAGAAATCAAAGCTGAGACACGGACCAAGTTCATTGAGGCGAGCTCAAACGAAACGAAACGAAACACAAAACGAAACGAACGAGCAGACAAACGGACAGACGGACAAACAAACAGATGGAACAACTTTCTGCGTTTAGTCATACGGCAACAACAACAAGAACAGCAACAACACGGCGCAGAAGAAGAAGAAGAAGAACGGAACAACTTGGCTATTTCGGGAGCGAACGTTTTGAGTTTGCGCGCCTCTAAGCAAGTATGTGTCTGTGTGCGTGTGTGTGGTGTGCTTGCACGCGTGTGTGTGTGTGTGTGTGTGTGTGAGTCAGTTGCTATTGAGCTGAACTTGTGCGCATTTCGTGTGTCGCCAACGCAACAAAAACAACAGCAGCAACAACAAAAGCAACAACAACAACAACAAGGCGCGCGCGCACAGCTGTTCAAATCGATTGCTGGCTGCCAGACAAGGACAGCCTCAGGATGACATCGCATACGTTGGCCCAGAAATCTGTTCTTATATCAGCGCCCTATATAACAGAACATGAGCTGTTTTTTAGTTGAAAATATGCCAGCATAGAAGTGCATTCCAATGAAATCTTGTTTTCGTTTAAATAGTTCCTGATATGTGATGCGATCCGGACGACTTCGAAAAGTCCATCCAAGTTCTTCGTGCGGCTTACGAAAACGCACACTTGTCAAATTTCGAGTCTTTAGCTCGATAAATGACCGAGATTGGACAGGCAGACGGGCATAGCTTGAGCTTGGCTGTTGCTACTGAAGATATACACATATACTACCCTCTAGAATGGTATAAAAAGGGGCAATAGAATAGATAGACATACATGTATATAGACATTTTAAACAACGAACAGTTAATGTCTAAGGCAAGTGTTCGGCAATGTATTCAAGAACGCAAGAAATCCTAAAAGGTTCTTTAAGAGATTCTCCACAGTTTTCAAATAGAGTTCTTTAAGAATGTACCTTACATAAAAATTCGGACATATATCAAAGTTATATATATATATATAAAATACCAAGTTATGAGTTCAAAAAGAAAAAACCGTATTAAAAAGATCCTTGACAAGACTTGAAATCTAACTAGTACTCTGCATAAGGTAAGAAAGTCCTTAAAGCAAAATCCATTTTCAGTTTCAAGAAATCCTAGACTGCATTACAGGAGCCCAAAATCCTAGCTGAACCTCACATACCGATGGGTGACTAAATTGGGAATGGTATTGGGATTTTGTCAGATGTATAGCATATATAGATATTAATATAGATGGGCAAATACTCACTTGTATACCATAGCATTGTCGCATGTATCGTTGAATGCGTAGTCGAAGCGAAATTTGTGATTCTCAAGGAATTTGGTAAGATCGACCTTGTTGCGCGGTTCATGGACCAGGAGCATATCCTTGCGCGGCACGGATATGACATCGATCTCCTTGCGATTCAATTCCTTGCGACTAAGCGGACGCTTGCGCACACAAACAGTTATCCGATGATCGTCGACCACTTGGCCATCGAGCAGCGGCACAAATTCGAGGGTATTCTGATATTCGCGTATCATTTGCGCTGTCTCCCAATTTGGATTGCCTGGATCCTGGTTCATTAATGCGACCTTCTCCTCCTTTATTTCAGCCTGGCGTGCCCGACGCTTCTCGCGATTCTCCTTAAGGCGTTCCACCTCCTTCAGGGCATGGGAACGACGGGCACCGGCAGCATTGGCAGCTGTTGTTGAATTATTTGAATTATTGGTTGCGGCTGCCGCTGCTGCTGATGTTGTTGTTGCTGTTGTCGCTGTCGAATTGCCACCGCCACCGCCACCGCCACGCTCGTTGTTAATGTTGTTGCTGTTGCTGGGCACCGCCGATGCGATGCGCGTCTGTGCATTGCTATTGACCTGGGCATGTGCATAACGGGGCCGCATCATGCCGCTGGCTGTGGCGCCAACGCCAGTTGACTGGATGCTGCTGCTATTGGCGGTTGTCATGTTGCCAACACTCTGGCTATTGCCCAACTGAGGCGGCAAATCGCGACTGTTCGTCTCGCTGATCTTGTTCAGCTGTGTGCCGGTCATGGTCATCCGTGCGGTTGAGCTACCGCCGCCGCCGCCACCGCCGCCGCTGCTGCTGCCAGCGCCACCGCCAATGGCAGACTGTGTGGGATTGCGCGATAAATTGATGGGCGCCGTTGCCTGTTTCTTCGGTTCGGGTGCTGTGTGCTGCATTTCATTGGCATCGGACATTGCCAGCTCCGGATTAAGCGAGAGTATGGCCTCCAGTTCGACCTCCTTGCCTTTCGTCTCGCCACGCTCATACCATTCGACGGTGATGCAGCGTGCCGACGGATTCAATTTGGATACAACGGCGCCATGGATGCGTCCATCGGTGCGTTTGATTTTAACGCTCTGTCCAATGTTTATTATATCCATTATTGTATCTAATACTTGCCCGGGCTTTGCACAAGTCCTTGCTTCGTTTTCGATGGTGAGCGATGTTGTTGTTTATGCTGGTGAACCAGTTCCAGTTCCAGTTCTAGACCCAGATCTGATCCTGTTTAATGCCGTTTGGTATGTATGCCTGGTGTCTATATATATGTATATATTTATTTATATATATAATATTTATGTATGTGTATTTATATGTATATGTGTATATATATATATATATATACGTATTATTGCTATGCCATAATTCCGTTACCGCTTTCGTTCACAAACTAAATCATACGAAATATAATAAAAATTAATTAATATAAATTTCCTATTTTTTCCCCGTCCTCTGTGTACGCTCGTACAATAAGTCTGTAAATGAGGCAAAACGTCAAGCGAGCTGCCTGTAGTTCAACTGACAGTGCAGTCAACGCTTACTCACATCAAACAATTTTGCTGCCTGCTACTTTTTTTGTTTTTTGTTTTTGGTTTCCAACAACAATAACAACAATAAACTAAAAATCAAATAACGTTCGAAATGCTAGAGCGAGACAGCGATACATTAAAATGGCTGCGTTCACCGACTGCTGTTTACCGCCTGCTGCTGCTACCGCTGCTACGGAATGACGACGACTGCTTTGGCTTTGGCTTTGGCGTTGGCTTCTTCTATGTCGAGGTCGCAAAAAAAAAAAAAAAAAAAAAAACGGCGTCGTTCAGCGCGCCTCTGTGTGTGTTTTCACACAAAATTCAAATGCTCAACTGTCACTTTCCTATCGATAACAACAACAAAAATCAAACATATGCATATACATGTACATATGTTGATGAGCGACGCGCCGCTAGGCTTTGACCAATTGTGATTTGTGCGCCGTTTTTATTTTTGCATGCATTTAAAGCGGCATTGTGCAACACTGTTCGCGTATGCGGCACATAGCGACAGTGACACAAACTTACACGCACCACATACATATGTAACATGCACAGGCACACACACATGGATATATATGCATGTGCATATGCATACATATAAGGCGCGTGTAAAAGTGCCAAAAACACTTTAAACAGCCGCTAATCAATGCCAGCAGCTTTACGTTGTTAACTATACACACACATGTTAGTGCATACGTATGCCACAGCAGTAGCAGCGGCACCTTTACGTCATGCAATAGCTGACGGCTGCGGCTCCCACATATAAAACACTCGCACTCACACACATGCAGACGCAGCCAAAGATATTGGCTTAGCAGGCAGGCCTTCAGGGCTTATATGCACATGCACACATACACACAGCAGACGCATTTCTTGCATACGCGGAAATGTAATTGGAAATTTGCAAAACTTCTATGGTGCTGAAGTCGCGGCAGCGGCAGCGGCTAACGTTGCAGGCAACACAACGTGTAATTTACGCTCACCTCGACAAACTCGCTTATTTGAACACACGCGCTGTTTCTTCTTCAAACTATTTAATAGCACAATCCATAAAATTACTAAAAGGATTTTTTTTTATTTTTGGAATTAATCACAACTAGATATCACAAGAGTGTGTTCGAAATAAATTTACAAAGCGACCAGATGTCAACAACAGAATTTTAGTTCAGAGTTTGCTTCGCCATTGTTTTTTTTTTCTTTTTCTTCTTAGTGCCAGCCAGTCATCATGTGTATTTTACAGCACTGGCACGCCGACAGACAATGCTGTCCGTTAGAATCAAATATATGTAAAATTGATGCAGCTCAAAAGTTGCAAATATTTGTAAGAAATTTATTCACACACTCTAAGCATTAATTTGAATAATAAACTATATTTTTTCACATGCAAGTCAATGCAACTAACTTAAAGCGCAACAGCTGCTTATAATCGCAGTCTAGTATGTTTTGGTATTTTTAGTTTAGTGACAAGTGCATTCACGAGTAAATATCGATACACCGATATCACAAACACTAACCCTGTGTACGTGTTTGTTTGTGGTGGTTGCAATAAATTTGTTTGTGCGTAGAAAGTGTAAATTATTACAACGAAAAACGCAAAAATTCTGCACGATATAAAACACTTGCAGTTTGCCAACTGAATACGGTGAGTACTTGCCACACTTCCGTAAATGTCATTCATCAATCGCAATTGATTTTTGTACACTGACATTTGTCATTTACAGCAGCAGAATGGACATCATGGACATACAGGCTGTCGAATCGAAGTTAAGTGACGTCACAGTGACACCAATACCACGCTCGCAAGTACAAAACTTTTACAACTATCAGCAGCAGCGCGAACAGCGCGAACAACAGCCCCAAATACAAATATCTGCAATACATCATTCACGCAGCGGCGCCAGCAGCACTGGCAGCAACAATAACATGACCGCCACAGATTATGCGACCAGCAGCAGCAGCGGCGGCGGCGCCGGCGGCAGCGGTGGCAGCAGCAAACGTGACCGCAACAATGCACAGAGCAGCGCCGCAGCGACAGCAGCAGCAGCAGCTGCCGTTGCCGCATTGCAGTATTCGCCACAATTTCTACAGGCACAGCTGGCGCTGTTGCAGAAACAGTCGAACACCACTGCCACACCGTCAGCCTCGACGGCCGCTGCGGCGGCCGCGGCGGCCCTATCGCTGGCTAACATTGCAGCCGCCAGCAATGGGCGCAACCTCTCGAACTCGGCCAACAGCGGCAACAGCAACAGCAATGCCAATGCCGGCAGCAGCAGCAGCACAATTAATCTGGGCTTGAATCTCACACAATCACAGCTCAAATATCCGCCGCCATCGACCTCGCCGGTGGTTGTTACCACACAGACATCAGCGAATATAACAACGCCGCTGACCTCCACTGCCAATCTGCCGACGGCGGGCAGCATGGTCGGTGGCAATGGGCTGAGCAAGTATGCCCAGCTGCTGGCGGTTATTGAGGAAATGGGCCGTGATATAAGACCCACATATACGGGCTCGCGCAGCTCCACGGAACGCTTGAAGCGTGGCATTGTCCATGCACGGATTCTGGTGCGCGAGTGCCTTATGGAAACGGAGCGTGCCGCGCGTCAATGAGAGGAGGAGGAGTGCGGCAGCGTGCCGCCATTGACGTCACCGGATTAAGCTCTACACCATAAAATACACTACACTACAAAAACACAAGCACTTGACATGGGCATGGTGAAAAATATTCTAGCATTTAAGTGTGACCAGACTAATGGCAATGAAAGCCAATTATATTCAAGAGAATTTCTTTACGGTTTTTTTTTTGTTTTGCCCTCCAAACAACACAATTTCAAGAACTAGGCGAATTTATGTTCGAAGCTTAAAAAACTATTATATATTGATGCTTCTTGAGATCTGTTCCTATATACCATAACACATTTTCTATGCAAACGAATACTGTGTGGTCCAATACTGATCTGAACCCAGTCTTATATATACATACATCCTGTACATTGATCTGGATTATACGATCACTCTGCTGGTATATTGTAGGATGTCTGCGTTTACAACTACACAGTATTCTTGAAGCATGAGAAAATGTGCACAAAACGCATATACTAACTATATCATTGGAGTACACAGATGCTATTGCTTTCACTATGCCTGTAAAGTAACGAGTAGACGTAACGAGTAGAAGTAACGAGTGTTGAGCTAAATTAGTTACTTAAGGCACTCGTTAGATTTAACAAAATGTGCTTTCATTTATTATTTAAGCACCTAATTTTAATATATCATATTTCATTATTAAACAATAGCAAATTGTATGAGCTTCTGTTTCTCTTTTTATTTTCTGTTGACTATTATTTTAATTGTTTGTATTGCTTTCTTAATACTCGACAAAACTGGCCAATTGGTGCCGCCGGACCATAGTTAAAAAATGTTTAGACTAGCTCAGGTTATACAAGTTATATATAATATGCATATATATTATATATAATGCATACGAGTATGTATACAAATATGAAGCGAGCCAGAGACAGCTTCAGATTTTATAGAAATAAACAATATATATATATATATATATATACATATATGTGTGTATATATGTTCTTATGCATAAGTCTAGGCTAAGTTGCACCTGCGTATTTTTTGTGTGTGTGTTCCAAACGTTGATGTTGTACAGCTTTAAGTAGGACACTGCTTCCAAACACTCACTGTGTATGCTATATACACTCTATATGTCAGGACAAATTGCACAGTTATTTTAGATAACTATACAAACCTATATATACAGACCTATACATGTATATACATGTATGCATTTGTTATAAAGGAGGTTAGTTGAACCAAATAATTGAACGACCTTCCTTTAAACATAAATACCTACAGATATATATATATATCTATATACATATATGCGAGCATATGGCTAAGTTCAAGCGTGTATACCAAACCAAAATTGGAATAAAGATATTTTGGTTTTTATAAAGCAACAAAAAGAAAAAAAGAAAAAACAAATGAATATTTTCATTTACCTTTTAATGAGCCCTCGCAAAACACATGTCTTCACAATTACTTTTGAACTGTAATTTTTGTTTAATTTTTTTTATTTTAATTGTTTTTGGTAAAAAATGCAAATTCTTTGTTTTAAAATCGAAATTTGTTTTTACGTTTACAGCACTACTACAAATTTAAAAATGAATGCTATCAACATTTTTTGAATACAACTGACAGCAAAATCGATGCCCGTTACAAATTCAAAAAAAAAAAAAATACTATACAAAGCTCGGGCTTTCTAAACATGCTGCCACACTGTGATTACTATTTAGACTAAACAAAACATCTGGCAGCTCTGTGCACTGAAATAACAACAAGGATCGTCAATTTGCCATATTGTCTGATGGCGTTAAAGTTTTAATATTATTTCAGTTTATTTATAGTTTGACATTATTGTCACAATCGTAATATGGACAGCATTTGGGGAAGGGCTCATTGACATTCTCGACTCGTTTGCACGGCTTTAGGGCGGCCACAGACGGGCAGCTATAAACGGATATTATTTTAATTATGTTATTTAATGATTATGTTATTCAAGCAGTTTTTAATTAACTTACGTTTTGCCCTTAATTGAGCCGTTAGCTTGGCAGGTGTGCTCAATACAACGACCTGGTGGCTGATATGTCTGACCCACCTTCAAGTTCTGGCCGCCCACCTCACAATCTGTCCGATTTTTGGCCATATGAATATAGTACGTACATTTAAATCCAGACTTGGGCAGACTTACCGCTCAGAACCAACAGCATATGGGCGCCCAGCACCAGAATACAAAGCACAAATGTCACCGGCTGCATTATAGGCCCTAGATCTCGAATAGTGAAGATCTTTCAATGCGATTCTATAACAAACTGAATGCTCGACCGTAAAGCCAGACTAATTATATAGGTTTATTTCATTTCGATTTGTTAGTTCAAGCTGACCTTTTCACACGGCACACTGATATTTCTCTGGGGTCGCCGGGTATCTCCGGGTGTATCAGCACGATTCTGACTGGAACTGAAACTGAAACGAATCTGTTTTATATGCTTAGCAGCTGTTAATTTCATTTATTATTTCATTCCACTTAGCTTAATTCTCTGTGTCCATATTCCATATTTTTCCCCAAATATAATATCCTTCACTTTCTGAATGTTATACATTCCATTTTGTATACATTCCATTACGTCAATGTACCATATCAATATACAACAATGTTTTTTTTCTAATCTTTTTTCTATTTTTTTTTTCATTGAGCTCAGAATTCTTTGCCCTGAACTATGTCAGCTGATAATTGTTTTTAATTTTTATTGGAAAACTTTTTTTCCATGTTCAAGTAAATGTTTTTATCTGGACTTAAGATCAGAGTATATAATTCCACAATTTTTTCTTTTATTAAATTCTTTACTAATAATAAAAATCAAATATTAATATTTTTCCCAACATTTTTAAAAAAGATTTAAATTTTTTCTCAGTATCTTTTCAAAGAATATCCTCCTGACATTCTCATAGAAATCGTTTTAATTATTATTAATCTTCAGAAATTATCCTCCGAACATTTTAAGTCCTATAAATATTAGAGAGTTTAAGATTTTTAGTCTAGAATTAAATTGTATACTTTCATTTTTATTTCCATTCATGAGTTTTAAGGAAGAAATGTATTTCCTCTTGCCAGCTTATTATTTATCCTCTGGTTAAATATATGAATCGAAATTGTAAGTCTTCGGAAAACTTTATTCATTCTTATTTTAATGGGTTTTTGATAAGCTTTCGACTGATCTGTTAACGCATGCAAATTTTCAAGTCAGACTCGAACTGATCAAGAATATATATGTATACTTTACGACTGTAATAATCTCCACAAGGATGTATCAAAACCTTTTCGCACTCATTTTAAAAAAAGTTCCCCTTTATAGACAAGATTAGGTATAAAGATATATCTATATATATATATATGTATACAGCTGAGGGCATCAATCGCCGGAACAAATACGTGTGGGACAGCAATCCGGATACGGTTTTGTGTAGTCATTGGGCGTAAAGTGACAGCCATCGGCCAGTTGCATGCGATCGCAGCTAGTGTTAAGCATTATATCAGTCGCGATCATAAACGATATATGTATGTAGATAGAAAGTACTCACTGCTTGATCATGAGCACATAGTCCTCACGGCAATACACCTGGGCACAAAAATCCAGCCGATCCACCGGAAAGACGGTGCCGTTCCGCGGCACGGCCAGCTCCAGTTCCGCGTAGTAGCAATGCTCGGAGATGGCTGGTTCGATTCAGAAGGGATTCACATCCAAATCATGTACTATATATACATATATATATATATGTGTGTGTGTGTGTGTGTGTACTTACTGGGATGCTGCGTATGGCCGCGATACTGTGTGCTGAAGCCGAGCAGCGGAGCAGCTGCCAGGATCAGGAGCAAACCGATCAAAGACCAACAAATTTCCAGCTTCCGTTTGCGCATCGCGAGTTCTCCGATTGAGCTGCTCGAATGCTGAGAATTATGGGCTTTATATGGCAGCGGATGTGACACCGAGAACTAAGCTATCAGCTCTTCAAATTTCATTTGTCTGCTGTTCTCACACTTTTTGTTTTGTAGAGTATACATATATATGTATATATGTATAGAGTATACTCGTTGTACTCTCAGCGCGGCACGTTCGTGACTCTCCAGCGTTTGTTGAGTTTTTTTTTTTTTTTATTCCTATGTCAAGTCTTGTAATTCCCACATCTCCAAGCTGGAGTCGTTTTGGAGCTGTAGTTCCAACTAGAACTACATCTAGTTCCGAACCGAACCATATTTGATAGAAAAAACAAGTTCAACATTTTATATTTTCGGACAAAACTGAACGTATTGAACCAAAGCTCGAACCCATATTTGGGTTCATGTTACTAGTTCACAAATTTACGTTTAAATTGGTTCAAGCCGTGAACCGAACCAGTTTCAATGAGCCAGTATAGCTAGCCTCTATTCTATTTTGATACTAATAAATATTATGTGGGAATCGAAAATGGAAACAAGTTTTCCTATTTGCATTTGCTTGATATAAATATATACTTATTTTATAATATTTATACTTCATTTTATTAGCTTTATTATAGTACAATTATAATTTCTGTAGAAAATAATATTATTTTTATTATAATATATAACTATCTATTTAATTTGTAGAGTATAAAACTTTCGCGCAGTTCGGGTTTTGTTCAATCATTTTTGTTAATAAACTTAACAAATAAATAAATATTACGTACATACTCGCGCTGCCGTACTATATAATATATTGTATTTCGTATCTTGTTCAGGCGATAAATAGTGATTAATCATACAATACTTATAAGCACGCTTCTTCTTTTTTTTATCTCACGACCTGTTATTATCCATTGTTTTTGTATTTCTTTCGATTTCAAGTTTTTTCCCAAAGACTAAGCAAATTTTTGTCTTACATATGTATATATACTTTCCCTACAAACTCTATAAGAAAGAGGAAGAGCGAGAGAGAGAGAGAGACTTAACTTACAAAACAAAAAAAAAACATTTAGACAAGCTGAAGAAGTACGTAAAATTTTAAATTATTCTGTCTCTATACATAAAACTGCTTGTCCTGACTGACCGATTGACTGATTGACTGACTAAGTGACTGATTGAGTAACTGACTGATTGAATGACTGACTGACTGACTGACTGACCGAATGACTGATTTACTGACTGACTGACTAACTGATTGACTGCCTAACTGATTGACTGAGTGATTGACTGACTGAATAACTAACTAACTGACTGACTGATTGACTGACTGACTGAATAACTAACTAACTGACTGACTGATTTACTGACTGAATGACTGACTAACTAATTTACTGACTGACTGATTGACCGACTTAATGACTGACTGATTGACTGCCTAACTGATTTATTGACTGACTGATTGACCGACTGAAATCCATTCCTATTTGGTGGAAATGGGGGTCAAACAATTGGTAGGTTGAATTTTGCGTTCAAATTAATATTCAAGGCTCTTCTATGAAATTCCAGCTGAGACTTGTTTCACACTAGCACAAAACTTGCCACGGACAAGGCCGGGTAACCCCAGCTCGTTGAGCTAAGTATAAAGTACTCGAAACAGATTGATTAGGATTGATTTTGATTATTTCTTTCTCTTTACTCAGAGTGACTATTATTCAAGTCAAGTTTTTGATGCGAACTCAAGCAACATGCGGCTAAATGCGGAAATAATGCAAATGCAGTCGAGATCGTAATGCGCATTTGCGCCCTAAATCCCGCGCAAATTGACTTGCCCAAAAGCTAAATAAATGTTTTAAATATATGTATGTATATAAAAATATATATTTGTACAAAAAGCTGATAAGATTTTGCGACCTTGCCAGAGTTTGGTAAACTGGGTCAGCGGCAGTGTTGCCACTTTAGCTTTTTTTTTTTAAGCCAAACTAGCCTTTAAGCTATTGTATTTCCTACCCAGTTTGGCTATTTCTAGCCGCGGCTTAGCTTTAAAAGCAGAGTTTGTTTTTTATAGTTAACAACATTTTGGCATTTTTTTCTTAGTATAGAATTTGCATCAAGTTGTATATAGATTTTGGTGGATTGTGGGCGTGGTATATGCCAGTGTGCCCCGTTTTGAGCATATTAAATTTAGCCTGAACAGTAAACTAGCTTGAAAATCGTAAAGCAAATCAATCGAAACGCATGCACAGGGTATCTGCTAGTCGAGCACCGAGCTGACGCACCCAGCTGACGCCCCCGCGCAAATGGACTCTCGCTTTCAGGGCTGGCAACTGGTCGGGCTTAATTAATACAAACTAGATCTAAAAAGCTGAAACTGTGCACATGCCCCACATACAGAAGCAGAGATACATACATACATACATACATACATACATTCATTTATGTGCCAGCTTTATTATTAATTTTATATAAAAGCAACAACAATTAATTGCAATTGACTCAGTCGCACGTTCGGCGCTCGTCTATTCGCCAACTTTATTTCCCTCGTGGAGTATTTCTGCTTTTTTTTTCAGCTTTTTTCTTCGTTTTTTTTTTTGGTTTTCATGATGATTTTGGACTTACCCGGAGCCCACGTGCTGCTGCTGCTGCTGCTGGCGCTGCTCTGCGCTGGCGCCGCCGCCGACCTGGGCTATCGGGCCAATGCCGTGCATCCAGGTGAGAGCGTGAGAATCTCGTGCCGTTTTCATGCCCTAAAACTGCCTTCTGTCCAGACTATCCGGGCCAGTGCTACCTTGAGGAACTGAAACAGCCGATACCCAAATATCAATCGTACAAGCCGATCAATCGGGCGGGCCACTGCAACTCCTTCTATTGCCGACCGGACTATGTTCTCGAGATTGGCTAGTAAGTCGGCGAATGCCTTCCATTTGAATACTCTTCACACATTCCTCCAAATATGTGCAATATTCCTTCACGATATGCCTAAGATTTACATACATATTCCATTGAGCGTAGCTACAGAGAATTACGAACTATTTAGCTGCATATCGCATGTATTTACTTAAGCTTCATATATTCTAAATCCTCTATATATACATATATATATTTATATGGCTGAAATATCTACTCAAGCTAAGACGAACTCTTGGAAGAATCGCTTAGCTATCTGAGCGTCAGACTAACAAAACAGAAGTCGCTGGCTCAAATTCAACGGCAATTTGCAATTCTAATATTTATGTTTTTATAGCACTACTATACCCTGATATATATATATATATAAATATTCTTGATTAGCATCAAAAGCCGCCTCGATCTAGCCATGTCCGTCCGTTAGAGCTAAACACTAGAAATACTTTTGAACGCAGTTCCTCCCAGTGCTAAGTTTCGATAATCGATAACTTTTTTCCGTTACCAGGCAATCGGTAAAAATCGATTATCGAAATCATGCTTACACAAAAAAAAGGCTAGATTCGCCGAATTTGACATGTAGCATCTAGAATAGTGTATACAGATCATTTTATGTACTCTATATATTTATCATATCTCTGAAATGAGTTCCATATGTCTATGCCATATATAGCCAAGTCTTATATGCATTGCATATATTATATTTAATGATTTCCAACCAATTATATATATTACTTGCACTTTATTCTTTTAAGCTCGATGTACATTAAAATAGAAGTACATTCGCTTTATATCTGAATTCGATTTGCTTGATTTATAATATGTGGTATTATTTTTTCGCAGCTGCGGTCGACACAATCTGATGCCCACGGAGAACTGTAAAATTGGCACCGATATGCGACTCATTTTTCCACACTGTTGTCCCAAGCTGATCTGTCAAGAGCCGGAGTCCAATGATATTTAGTTCTATATACATATATATTCCTATACAAATCATATTATGCCTCCCATACTAAATATTTTCAATAAACTTTACATTGCTTAACTGCTGAGTTTCTGAATGTTCCGAAAGCAGCTGTCGCTTCTCATTGTACTCTATGATATTAAAAGCACCTGCCAGACAATAGGGTTTATTTCTGGTTTCCCAGACAATGGATATATGTAGTACCTGGGCCTAAGCGAATAGCTCTACCTATGCCTGCCTATAGTTTCTTTATACTTCAGCTAAAAAGCTGCAATTTTTCACAAATTTTAAAAGCTAACCTCAAAATAGTTTTCCATTCATTGTTTATGCTCTTGAATAGCTTTTGATATGCGTGGCAGATCTTTCATGCGAATGCCAAATAAACCATATATATACTAAACAGATATATCTATATATATGTATATGGGTAAATTTAATTCCTGGTTAGAAGAAACTAGTATTTTTTTCTTTAACGATTATTCTAAGAATCTCTAAGAAATTGGTAAGAAAGAAGGCGCAAGAATTATAAGGCCACGCCCACGGAGGGGAACGAACAATATCAATATCTGTCACAGTTTTCAAGCTAAACTAATCAAATACGGAATAAAGACTACTGACACGCTGTCCCATCGATCGAGTGATAGATAAATATAAAATAGAAATAGCCATAATTATGGTCAAAATTCGCAGCTCTTTCTATTTACATATGTATCGACTGAAGCCTGAAATTTCGAATACCCATCCAATACTACGTTAATACTTAGTTATGCTAAATACTGGATAGCACATTTTCCCTTTAGTCATCAATCGACCTAGCTGTAACTCATATGTGAGAGCAGCGATGTCTATCAAATTTTGGATATTTACTCCGACAATCAATTGGTTCCTATAAACAACAACAATAGTTTGTTTGTAGTATATGAGCGTAATGTAAAAACAAAAAAATATGAAAAAACTCTCGATGCAATTAACTCAATCAGAGCCTGTTGGCGGCTGGGCGGGAAAGAGAGGGGGGGGGGGGTGTGTGCATCAGTCGGGGGCAGGCTGCTAAATAGTGAACAATTAAACAATTAAAATGCGAATTGTGTTGGAAATTGAAAACAAACAACAAAAAGCACCAACTAACGAATACGCTACGTTGGCTGAAAATCAAGATGATGCGAACCGGTTCGTGTTCCAATTCCAATTTAATTCTCATTATGAACTGAGCCTAAAATTTGAACCAGTTTTTGTCAAAATAAAAAAATATGTTCAGGCATATCGAATTTAAATGGGATATTCGAAAATAGACGAACCGATCTTTAGCTCGAAAAAATGTTCAGGCATACCGAAAATATATGGTATATTCCAGGGAGCCGGGTAATATTGGTTCGAACCGTGAACCGAACCAGCGGCAATTTCTATGCTCTTTGAGGGGGGGGGGGGGGGGGTATAATATATCTGATATTATACAAGAGTTATGTTCCTCTGTCAGTTGCAGTGCAAACTATATCATATTGATCTATAAAAAAAAAACGATATACTTTTTTTTACTGAAATCCTTTGAGATAATTTCAGCAAACTTCAGTAATTATGAGCTCCACAATTCCTCGCCCATATCTGCCGAAAAGTAAGTCATATTTCATGTTGAATCTTCAATTTTGCTAGGATTTAAAAAACTCGCAACTCGTGTAGCGCACATCTGAAAGTCGAGCTAAACGATCTAAAATAAACAAATTAGTTTTTTTCTCTCTTTGTTTTGCAAATTAGAATTGTAAATTTGCGTAACTGTAGGTAGACATGGTTGGGGGTATAAATAGCAAACTGGTTGAGCCAAAGGGGCTTCAGTCGATCCAAACAATTCCACAAAGATGCGCAACAACAAATCAACTTGGCTGGGCGCAACTGTTGGGCTGCTGCTGCTGCTGCAGATGCTGTTGTTGATGATGATGCTCGGCGGCAGTGAGGCAGGTGAGTTGCTGGCGCTGCATGCCCTAAAGGAAGCTTCCGGCAGCAGGTTGTAAGTTGACTCGTTTTCTTTTTTTGTTTTAAACAGTCAGCGAGCCCGTGTGCACCTATCGCAATGCCGAGGACGAGACCGTGTTTCTCAAGTATTTGCCGCTGTTGAAGAAGGGACAGGATTATGTGGACTTTGGCAAGGAGGGCAAATGCCTGAAGCGCGCCATTTGCACGGATACGTTCAAGACCATTGTCGAGGAGTGAGTATATGCGCCTATATAGTTGTCCGATCTGTGTATATGACGTCATCGATCAATCAAAACAGATGCGCCGACCAAAAAGTCACCTGTCTCAACAAGCAGCGCTACACGGGCGTCTTTCCCGCCTGCTGTGTCAAATGCCCCTAGATGAGGATGCGCCTCCCTCTCTCCCTCTCTCGCTCTCTCTCTTCCTCTCGGGCTGGATACAGGCCATATACAATAACAATATAAATATATCTATATATACATATGTGTATGTATAGTCTAAACAAAATATGATTAATAATAATGACAACATTTCTTGGTATACCGTTTTAGTTCTTTCTGGTTTCGTTTTTATTTCTCTTAGCTATTTATTTATCCATTTAATCGCAATAATTATTTGTTTTTATTTGTTGTTGCTGCTGCTGATGTATTTGTTGTTACTTTGTTGTTGTTGTTGTTACTTTGTTGTTGTTGTGGTTTCAATGTTGCCTTAGAGTTTGTCAATTTCACAATTACTCTAAGCCATATCTGTTCAGCAGTTGTGTGTCTTGGGCTGCCGTTGACCAACGCTTAATTCTCTTAATTAATTCTGGATATTTATATAGTTTCTTCTTCTTCTTCTTCAAATTTTTCCCTTTTTTTCTTTTATGTTATATAAGCTTTTTTTTTTTTTTTAAGTTTCTGTTAAAACATAATTCTGCTGCGTGCCACCAAAATTTTGTCATGCCACCAGACAGCAGAGTTGAAAAACAAAAAAAAAAAAAAAAATTAAACGAAAATCGTAATTACACAATATGATAATAATAATTTGGGGCCAGAGTTATGCTCTCTCTCTGTGTGTGTGCCTGTGTGTGAGTGTAGGTGTGTAGGGGCGGGGGGGGTTTGTGAGTGTGGGTGCTGCTTATGGTAATCCCGGCGCTGCAGTTCTGCTGTTGTTTTATCGCTTAGCTTGCTGATGTTGCTGTTGCTGTTGCTATTGTTAGTTAACCCTGTTGTCTGCTGTTTGTTTGCATTTCTTCATTCATTTATTGTTTATATTCTGTATAGAGCTATAGCTTATAGATCCTCATCCTCATCGGGCAAGGCGGTCGCCTGCGCCTCCTGCAAGTCGCGCTCAATTTGCAGCTGCCAGTCTTTATCCATTTTGACCTCCGGTGGCAGCAGTGCCGGCATTGCCACAAACTCCAGATTTGGATCGCCGACCAGCTTGCGGGCCAGCCAAAGGAATGGTTTCTCAAAGTTGTAATTCGATTTGGCAGAGATGTCGTAGTACTGCATAAAGAAATGAGAAATTGAACGAGATTAGCAAAAATTGTACAAGGTTACGGAATGTTTCTATTAGAAACCAACTCTTCCTGTTCTCGCGCAAAGCATCAACAATCGATATCTTTCAATTGCGTGTTTTTATCGATACTCCAAATATAGACACTAATTCGTTATATTTGGGAGACAGAGAATATCTCTTGTGGTCAGTTAATGTTAATATCTTGTTAACTGTGCAATTACAGAAATTTGAAGATAAACAAAGGAAAATTCAATTGTTTTGTCTGTTAAATGTAAAAGCAGAACTACGTGTTTAAATTATGTATGTTCTCGCCATATTTATAATCTACTCCATTCACATTATCTGAATATAGTTTTGTATAAATTTAGTTTTATTTACTTTTTGAAAGAGAGGATTTATGATACTTGCACATTAGGCAGCATATTTTTAGCAGAAAATTGATAACAAATTGCTTGGAAACAATTTACTAGCAATATTTCAACTGAAAATCAAATAATTTGAGTATATATTTTCATTCAATGGGTCAAAGTGGTTAAAAAAAAAAAAGAGAAAATACTAGAAACTGTATTTTTTGTATGTGACCCACTGTCGATAACATTTTTGTTTTGAGCTATCTCTGTCTCCCTCACTCTGCCATCTATCTCTGTTACATTCATTTTTGACATGTCTGTGCATGTTGTTGATGCTTTTTCATTTTATGGAACAGGCTTTATTAAGTTTAAACACTCACCTGCAAGTTTTTCTTTCGGTGAAACACAATGCTTTTGGCCTTGACCTTACGATCCTTGATATCAACTTTATTGCCACAAAGGACAATGGGTATATTCTCGCAGACACGCACCAGATCCCTATGCCAGTTGGGCACATTCTTGTAGGTGACACGCGATGTTACATCAAACATAATGACGGCACATTGTCCCTGTATGTAATAGCCATCGCGCAAACCGCCAAATTTCTCCTGTCCGGCTGTGTCCCACACATTGAAACGGATGGCGCCTCGATTGGTGTGAAAGATCAATGGATGCACCTCAACGCCCAGTGTGGCAACATATTTCTTTTCAAATTCGCCGGTCATGTGACGTTTGACGAACGTTGTTTTGCCGGTGCCACCATCGCCGACCAGCACGCACTTGAATGTGGGCATATCCTGTACTTCCTGAGCCATGTTGCCTGCTGTTGTTATTGTTGTGCTTCTTTCAAGTTATGCTCTACAGCACTGTACAAAATTACAATTCACACACGGTCCTCTGGAGTTGCTGCTGCTGTTTTCTGTTGAAGATGCGTTTGAATTAATATCGTTTTAGATTTTGTGTACAATTTTGGGTTGTTCGATTTTTACGGTACGAGGACTGATGTTAGACGTGCGGCGGGCGCAATGCGAATGCGAACACCACAAGCAGCGCACAAGAAACGAAAGGTAGAGGTCAAAGCAGAATGGCCAATGCCAAAGGCCGCAGTAAAGCGCGCCAAAGGACAACAACAGCTGTTCTCAGTTGCGGGGTCTCTTTTAAGAGAGAAAAGAGAGCGAGACAGAAGTGAATGCAAGAGAGCGGGCTACAGGGCAACAAAAGTGCAGCTGCCGTCACTGGGTGTGTGTGTGTGTGTGTGTGTACAGGCAGGTAGCATGCGACCATGCCGTGAGAGAAGGCTGACATACAATTGTTGTTCTTGTCGGCTTTATGTAAGCGCAATAACGGAATCATATATTCAGTTTTTGTTTTTGTTTCAATTGCAACCCTAAAATGTCAGCACTGCAAAATGGTTTAATTGTATATTGACGCTTTAAATACGCGCAAGAAACTGGGTTCCGTTTAAAATTTATAATACTTTAATCAAGCTTCAAATCAGACATAAACAATACGCGTAAACACTAAAATGCTCTTGAAATTGTATTCTATATTGCACTAATTCATATTTTTGTATATAACAAAGTTTTTACTTGGGCTGGTATTAGGAAATTGAACTAAAAAATAGAAGTAAGTGAACTGTGTGTCATTCCAGTATAAATTGCAGATATTGTTGAAATGCGTTGCTTAGCTGGCGCACGCACACAAGAAAACGGTGGAGGCAACAGCCCTCCTGCGAGTGCGAGCGAGCAAGCGAAATGTATAGCGAGTGGCTGCTACTGTAGCAGACGCAACCAAAGCGCGCCAAAAACGTAAACCAAGCAAACAAAGAGTATGCCAACTGCAATGCAATGTTAATTCACATGAAGAAACGCAATGCAAATCCAATTCGCATTTGTCTTATTAATAAACACAATCAACTAACAAATGCTAACGTATATTCTCACACACCAATGCACACAAGCATGGGCTATTGCCGACTTATACACACGCACACGCACACACACATGCCTAAACGCCAATACACGCGCCAGTCTGAAACATGACGCAAATTTTTTTTCCTACTTATTCAGGTTTAACCTCACAAATTTGTGCGAATGGCCGTCGTTTGTGTGCAGTTCTTTTTTGGCATTTCCAAAAGGCAAATTAAACGAAAATTTGATTTTAAGTTTACTTTTAATAAATGTGTCCAGGGTTGCAACTATTTACGTTTGCATATCCCTCATAATTCTGAATCCATGCCAACACACGCGGCGGCGGCGGCGGCTGCAGCACCACGTCGTGCGACGCCGGCCTTAAGTGGCCTTCTAGCAGAGGCTGGAGAAACAACAATAGCTTCAGCTATGTAGTTAGCAACAGATTGTGGAATAGGGCAAGCACATTCGCAACATATAAATGCAAATATATATATATATATGCTTATGCGTATATATTAAATTGAATTGAATTGTGCACACTTGAACACCGTCAGCAGACAGACCCTAGACCACCCACCGATAAACGTATTGCGACGCCGTCATCATCGCATTTGAGACGTCTGCAAATTTCACATCTATTCGCAAGCGAGCGAACAGCGTGTGTAGTGTGTATTTTGGCTTTACTTACATGCTGGCTTTCTTTTTGTTTCAACAATTAGCAAGAGCACACAGACTAAATGTTTCTTTCAACAGCACGGACACAGAAATGACAAAGGTATTGCTTCTCTTATCGAGTATTACTTCGCATCAACCTTACTTTTTTCTCGTGATCCTGTTTGCAACTAACAAATATATCGATATAGCTTTTGTGTCGATAATTCCAAGATGATGTTTCAGAGCGACAGTGTTACCAAAGGTAACTTGTTCACTTCAGATAACTGGGCTGTGCGTATAATCAGTATTTATTAATTACTGAAAACCGTAGACATATTGTTATCGATATATCAAGTGCAATACGCTCAATTTATAAACAGATAGTAATCGATAAGCCGTTGTTTTGCTTTTTATTTGTTAACATCACTAGATTGTACTTTTCAACAAAAATAATCAATACGATTATTATCAATTAAAATCAACTTTAAATAATATATATTTCTTGTTGTCCACACACAACAAATACAAAGATGTCGACACGTCGCCAGGCAATTACATTGTATCGGAATTTGTTGCGTGAATCCGAGAAGCTGCCCTCCTACAACTTTAGGTGCGTGTGTATTGTGAAATAGCTTAACATAACAGCAAATTGTGTCAATTATGTATAAATATTTTTTTTTGTGGACAGAATGTATGCGCTACGTAAGATACGCGACACATTTCGGGCCAATAGGATGGTAAATGATTTCAAGGAAATCGATCGGCATATGGCAAATGCCAAGCAAAGTTTGGAGTTGATTCGTCGACAGGTGAGCTTGTGCCGGGTCATAAAATTGGGAAAACAGCTGTACATGTGAGCACATGCACACAAGCACACACGCACACAGACCAATTTACATGGCCAATTGCCTAATTGTTATCGCACTGCAGCACGTCACTTTTGACGTCAGCGTTGCTAACGATAACAATACGATATCAGGATTGTATTTAATTAACACCCTCTCCCCTTATAGGTAATTATCGGTCATCTTTACACAACGGATAAGCTGGTTATCGAGCAAACAAAGACGCTGCGGCCATCAGACGACTAAAAAGTTGCATCTCTATCATCCACTCAAACACACACATACAAAGGCAAATGGCACCTGGACAATAGCCGGCGCGGGCGGCCTAAAACTCGAAAGACTCGTTAAATTTGAATGTTGCTTTTTGCTGTTTTTGTTATGTTCATGTTAGTTGCCGCCGAAAAAAACCAAATCAAATCAATCACTGAAGATTGTAGAGAAAAAAAACACCAGTTTAATAATATATTAATTACAATGAAATTATATACGTGTACATATACTTTAATTACATTATTGTATAATTAAGTACTGCCTTAAAGTACTTGAAACGAAAACATAAAAAAAGCAATAGAAAAATGAAAATAGAATAGAAATAGAATAGAAAAAAGAGGCCAGCCTATTGATATAAGAGTATACAAACTGTAGATATGGAATGTGTGTTATGTATATCTATGCCTGATAGGTGCTTGCCGAAACATTGCCGCCTGTGCCCGTCCAGTTGGTATGATGGAATTGCCCCTCCTTGCCCAGCAGCTCGTATGTGTGGGCGCCAAAATAATCACGCTGTGCCTGCAACAGATTCGCCGGCAGCTTGGCCGTCCGATATCCATCGTAGAAACTGAGCGCCGTAGATAGCGCCGGCACGGGTATGCCCCAGAGGAAAGCATTGGCCACCACCTGACGCCACGAGTCCTGTCCGCTCTCAATGGCGCGCTTGAAGAAATCGTCGAGCAGCAGATTGGGTAGTGTCGGCTGGCGTGTATACGCATCCTTGATGTTGCCCAGGAATACGCTGCGTATGATGCAGCCGCCGCGCCACATGAGCGCAATGCCGCCATAATTTAAGCTCCAGCTATTCTCGCTGGCCGCCTCCCGCATCAGCATAAAGCCCTGCGCATAGCTGACAATCTTGGCACAGTACAGCGCGTATTTGAGGCTATTGAGGAACTTTTTCAAATCCGGCACGCTCGGCTTGCAGCCGGGTCCCTTCAGCACGCTGCTGGCGCGCACCCGCTCATCCTTGAGCGCGGAAAGGCAGCGCGAGAAGACCGCCTCGCCGATTAGCGTGACGGGCACACCATATTGCAGTGCCGCAATTGCTGTCCACTTGCCGGTGCCCTTTTGACCGGCGGTGTCACGTATGCGCTCCAGCAGATAGCCCTCGCTGTCGTTGTACTGCAAAATATCCCGTGTAATTTCAATGAGAAACGAGTCCAGCTCGGCGCCATTCCATTGGCCAAATGCCTCAGACATTTGCGGCGCTGTGAGGCCCAGACTCTTCATAATGTGATATGCCTCACAGATAAGCTGCATGTCGCCATACTCGATGCCATTGTGCACCATTTTGACGAAATGACCGGCGCCGCCATCGCCCACCCACTCGCAGCACGGCTCGCCATCGGCCTTGGCGCATATGGCCTGAAAGATGGGTTTGATCAGTGGCCATGCGGCGGCATGACCGCCCGGCATCAGCGACGGTCCATGTCGTGCGCCCTCCTCGCCGCCGCTAACACCGGAACCCACATAGAGCAGACCCAGCTTTTGCAGCTCATCGCAGCGGCGCGATGTGTCCTGATACTCAGAGTTGCCACCGTCGATGATAACATCGCCCGGCGACAGCAGCGGCACTAGTTGCTCTATAAAATCATCCACAGCACTGCCAGCTGCCGAGAAAAAGAACGTAATGTGTGATTAGACAAGGCCAAGTGTTTTTTTGATTGTTTTGAAAGTCAATGCCAGAGATGGGCGTGTGCTGAAAGGCAAGTATGCTGCACTCACGAAATGCCTGTAAGGCCAAATACTATCGTGCAACATCGGTCCACATTGTCTAAATAAATACTAAGGCTAATCTAGTGTTGTGCTGTGGCTCAATTAGTGCTGCGAACCGCGATACACAACTTTTTAATTTTCGTACAAGGTTAATTTTATTTTATTTATTTATTTATTTTATTGATATTTTAAAGCGCTTTTTTGAAAATGTTTCTTTTTTTTCGAACAACAGTAGAATTTGCTTCGTTTTTTTTTTACTCAAGTGTATTGTCACGCGTCCATCTCTAGTTGCAGCTGCACTGCCTGTGTTAAAGTCGACCTTGACTTAAGGTCAGCCCAAAGTCGCGAGTTTCTGCGCTTTAGTGAGATAATTACAACAAGTTTTGATAGCATTTGATAGCCTGACGGCAAAACCTTATCGCGGGCATTGATCTTGACCCAAGTGCTAAGCACCTGTTGAGTCGTGTTTGTTTTATATGACCTACATATATTGAATGTCACTGCCTTTGGAGTGAGTGTGTGTGTGTGTGTAAGAGAATGGTTATCCGGCGTGAAGGAACTAAAAAGGCCCTGTATGCTGCTTCAGTTGCCATGCAAAATGTAAACACTCGGCCTAGCAGGAATTTACCGACTTGTTTGTTTGTACTAGTTTGGCAGCATTAAGCTGCGTATTGAGCTTAAGCGATAACTAACCGAATAAGCACTATTAATCGATAGCGTGCATATCGTTATAGGTAAACAAAAACAAATAGTAAATTATATTTGCACTCTCTTTCTCTCTCTCACACACACACGCAGCCAAATGCTCTCCCGCTGTTTTTTGACAGGCCGCAACAAAACGAAAAGCTATGCAATTTTTGTGTGCATGACTTTGCTTTGACTTCCACACACACACACACACAGACACATAGCGCGATCACTGCACGCCACTCCACAATATTACAGCAGCAATGACAACAACAACAACAACAACACACAACTTACCCTTGACAAGCAGCATGACTTTGCGTGGCCTTTTCAGTTTGTCGACCATGTCCTTCAATGACTCGGCGCCAATCACTTTGGTGCCTTTGGCCTCGTTGTTTAGAAAGTCTTGTACCTTCGAGACGGTGCGATTATATGCGCAGACCACGAAGCCCTTCTCGTCCATGTTCAGTATGAGATTTTGACCCATTACGGCCAGGCCGATGAGTGCAATATCAGCTTTGCTGCATTTACAAAAATACAAAACAAAAACAACATTGACACGTTGCAAAACAAAATCGGGCAAATTGACAGTGAAATTTGCTTACCCGCTCATATTTGTCTTTCTTTTTTTTTTTTATTACTAAATGATTTATGTAAAAAAAAAGGTTATTAGTTGTGAATTTTACGCGAATAACTCGTTTTATTATCGCCTTTGTCACTTTCACTGCGCTGCCGCCTTCTGGCCGTTTGCGTTCGCCGACTGAAACTGACGCACGATGCGCAAAGCAAAAACGATAAATGCCAAAAAGCCGAAAAGCTTTCCGCTAGAACTGAGCGCGTATCGTGCTTGAAGCGTGTCACGCAGACGCAGGGCTGCAGGCACGAATATGCGAGTGTTTAGTTTGTGTGGGTAATGCAATTGACGAAACTCGAATTACAATTTATTCATTTATGTGATTTAAGCAAAAAAGACTTTAATTAAATATATGTAGCTGCACTTTACAAAGTAAACTCATTTTATGTTGATAAAAATAATTAAGTTTCCACAAGACTTTTTAGCACGTTATTATTCTACTATAAATATTTATTGTTAAATTATTTTCAATTTAAAACGTTTGACTTTTATCCGCAAAATTACTTTTAAAGTTTGTAAGCGAAAAAAAAACAGTTAATTTGCCTGTCTTGCTGCGTGTCGTGCGTGACAAAAGTTTGCGCCGCGCCCATCTCTAACGGCTCAAAGCTTTTTGCACGATCAAGCCAATGCAATGACAAATGCGAGCAGCAAGCAACAACAAAACAGAAGACAAACAACATTTTTGACACCACCTTGAGCCGCCCTCTAGTCCAGCTCTAACCGATAACTCGGCGATCGATAGGCGATAACTGCAGCGGAATGTATGATGAAATGCTTGAAACGCTTGAATTTAATACACAAACAAGTAAATGCACATTTATTGGAAGCTTTACACTTTACATTTGTAACAATATGATTATAAGAGACAAAAAAAAAATAACCGTATATATGTATTGTGAGGTAGTGCTGCTTTTAATTAAGCATTTTGTAGGGATTGAGTATGCCGTTGGGATCAAACATTTTCTTCATGTCGCGCATCCAGTCAATGGCCACCGGATTCTTGGAATAATGCAGATAATCCTTTTTGAGAAAACCGATGCCATGCTCGGCACTGATGCTGCCCTTCAACTTGGATGTGTACTCGTAGACAAATGGCTCGACACGCTTGTAGATGGCCTCGTTGAACTGCTCACAGGACACGTTCAGATGCAGATTGGAGTCGCCCAGATGGCCATAGCCGCACACGACTGTGGCCAGAGGACCGCATCGCTCCCGCATGACGTCCACAATGCCATAGAAATCGCGCAGCGGCAGCGAAATGTCATACTTGAAGCAGAAGCTCTTCTCGATGAGGCCCAGCGGCACCATTTCGCGAATTTTCCAAATCTCCTGCACCTTGCCGGGCTCCCCAGTGACGGTGCCATCCAATATTTCGCCACGTTCCATGCCCTCGCTTATGAACTGATTGATCTTCTCCTCGTCATGCGCGCCATTGCTGCCCGAGGTCTCGATGAGCATGTAGAAGGGATAGCCAGAGATGGGCGAGCTAAGGGTTGAATGTTCAAATCTTTATTACACTGTGAGAACAAGAAGGGGGAGGTTTCCTTAGTAAAAAGTAAAAGGTCAGCTTAAGAGCCCAGTCGCATCGAACTTGAAAATTCGAAGAGCTACAGGCACAAAATTGGGTTTATAAGTTCTCGATTACCATACGCCCGCCAAAGCTTTGACAAATTATCGATAACTTTTGTCGTTTGCCCAACATTGTTATATAATCAACTGCCTAGCCCCTGTTTTTAAGCATATCTCGAGAACTTTAAGAGCTAGAGACACCAAATTTGTAATTTAGGTTCTTGTTAAGTAACACAGGGCAAAGACATTTCATTTTTTTTGGATACCTTCTCTAAAATTCTCCCCAAAATTGAAAAGAAGAATTGAATTAGTCTGTTAGCACTGAAAATTGCAAAGCGATCGGACAATAAAGGCCGAAGATATTAAAAAATGTTTTTTGGTGAGGATAGATGATGTCTGGGTACAGGGTACAGGGTATCTGTCTGGGTACAGGGTATCTTGTCGAGCACTTTCACTTACTTAAGAAACTTGAACTGGGTTAGCGCCGTGTTGAGGGCCAGCTCATCGATGAGCTCACACGAGCTGAGAATCTCGCCCAGATTGCGTTTGGCGCTGACAAATGTCTTGAGCACATCCTCAAACGAATTGAGTCCAATAAAGGCGACATTTACCGCCTTGGAGACATG